TCCATAAAATATGTTATCAGTACTTCCAGGAAGGACTCAGCCAGGTGTGGCTATGGGGAGCAGGAAATACTCTTACCCGCCTCATTTACCTCATTTTCCTGTGGAAGAAGAAAAGCGAATGTTCTTTTTCTTCCAGCTTGAATGGCTGTCAAAGAAAGTGCCAGTGATGGTTTCCATGGAGGCGGCCCAGGCTGTTGCCTATTCTGAGACTGAGAAAGGAGTCATAGGGCTGGATGAGGAGGGCAGAGAGTGGGCAGGAGCTAGAAAAAGAAGGTCTGTGAGCCCAGGGACAAGGGACAAGAGAGAGGGACCTCACCAGTACTTGCTTGGCCATGCTGTGACATACTTAATAACTGTGGGAGATTACACTGTCTAAACAAGGTAGGAAGGGAGGGACAGACACTAAAAAGCTAATAGGCTCAGGGAGAGGTGGTAGTGACCAGACTGGGTGCCTTTATAGTCGGGAGTCATTGTTTGCTGAAGGTCACCTATCTGAAGAGAAGGTCACCACGTAGACACCCTCGGCGCACTGCTTGCCAGAAACATAGATGTGTCACCTTGCAGATTCCCCACTCCGGAGGCCTCTGTGACTTTCACAGAAGCATTTTTTCAAAGGGACTATGACAATAAGATGTCCATGATTATATATAGTTAGAGAGAATCTGGGCTCGAGGGTTGTCATTAGGGTGACATTTCTTTTTAAAAGCTGATGTGTGTTTTAATTGTCTGGGGGATAGGGAGAGAGATTATGTAGCATTTCTCATAGAATTTACACCCCAGAAACTCCCCCCGCCCCAGCCAGACAGGGTTTTTTTTTGAGGTGTTTTATTATTGTCATGACTAGTTTCATGTCTATTCTGCAAGATGGAAAAGTCACGTGGCTCAATAAACCTTTCTATTTCCTTCTGGTTCCTTCTACAAGGAACTACCATACAGCTAGTGCTGGTCCTTGAAGAAGTGACTCAATAAGCATGAGGAAATGAAGGACATGAATAGAATTTCAAGAATCACTAGCTGTTTCCACAGTAGAATCAGTGTCTAGGGCCCCTCGCCGTATATGTACGTGACATGAAAGCTCTTTTAATGCACTGATCTTGCTCTGGCTTTATTTTATACCCATTCACACATACACACTCATGCATGCATGCACACGCACAAGCACCACTTAAGAGTCTTAAAATAATAAAGAGTTTATAGCCTCATAGTTCTGGAGGCTGGAAGCCTGAAGTCAAAGTGTTGATGGGTTTGGTTCCTGCCAGAGGGTCTGAGGAAATATATCTCATGTCTCTCTCCCAGCTTCTCCTGGTTGCCCACCATCTTTGGCTTGTAGGCACATCCCTCTAATCTCTGCCTCTGATGAAACGCAGCATTTCCCTTTCCTGTCTGTGTCTTTTCTCCTCTATTTATATAGCTACCAGTAATATTGCTTGAGGGCCCACCCTACTCCAGGATGAACTTACCTTACGTTGTTATGTCTGCCATGGTATTGTTTGCAAATAAGGGCATGTGGGGAATACTGTTCAACTTCGCATGTCTGTCTAACAGGAACTCAAGGTGAGTTTCGGCAGTGGTGTTCATATTGGAGATTGGTGGTCACCCCCAAACCTGAAGGCTGCAGTTGTTGTGTGTGCTGGGCAATGTGGGTCACAAGTCAGGGGACTGTGTTTCTTTACTGCTTGGGAAGACCAGAGCTTGGAGAAAGTAGACTCATATCCTCTGAGTAAATCTGAGGTTAATTGACCTAGAAATATGATTTGGTTGCGCTGTTTTTAAATTCCTAGGTAAGGGCGAGGCTCACGGAAGGATGGCCAATCTGAGAGAATAATAGATCAAAGCGAAGGCCCAATGTCCTGGCTGAGACAGAGACCACAATAAGAAAGAAGGAAGAGTCCTAATTCTGTAGGCACCTCACGAGGCAGTGGGGACCTTTCTGAGAGGCTGCAGTACACATTCCTGATTTGTCTCTGCAGAGGTGAGAGGTCACACGTTCTCAGAGCCTGGCACAGGGGACCGGCGCTGTTTTCCAGGTGCTTTAGGCTGGACGCTCTCCCTGCCTTTGACATTTCCTACTTGTCTGAGATGCTGCAGCATTGGGGAGAGGCAAAGAGGCCCTCCCCCTGGCCTGCCAGGCGTGGCTGTGCTGTGTGGGCCAGGGCTGAGGCAAAAGGAAAATGCAGTCAGCCTGGCACTCTGACCTTTTCTGGAGTCTCCTGCCTGGAAATATAGAGATGTAAAAATGACATGCTTAGCAGTGGAATTTTCCCTCCCCTGCTCACTTCATTTCTTGTCTCTGGCTGGCTTTTTTCCCTCCAACAAATGATCTTGACTTTTAGAAATGGAGTCACTTTTTCACGACGAAATAGACTATGGGTTCCTGGGGGGCAGAGCAGGTCCCTAGCAGGGAAGAGAAAAAAAAGCAGAGCTGGATTTGTGGCAAACATGGGGAAGGAGCTACTGGCTCATAATGTAGTTTCAGAAAGGGCAGGGTGCGGGGGGGGGGGAGGAGAAAAGCTTTCATTCCCTTAATAGCTTCAATACTGGAACTTGGATCCCAGGGGAGAAATGACACCCCCTCACCCTCATTCCAAGTACACTGACATTTATGATTTCTCTCAGGAAATGAAGGAAATCTGATTTCTTGAATCCCATTAGCTATTATGCCAGAACTACAGACTTCCTGTTGCCAATGCGCGCCTGGTCCTATTCATCAGAAATGGCCTGAACTCCCACACTAGCAGGGTTGGTCTCCGGGTGCGTGCAATCTGTGGAGCCGTGTGGGGTGTTTGGCTTCCTGCTTGGTTGTTTTTGTTGTGAACTTCTTAATAATCTTTGAACAAGGAGCTGTCTTTGCATTGTGCACTGGGCTGCCAATGAAGTCAATGGCCCTGTTTACCAGGCACTCCCTGGTCTCAGCGTCAAATCCCTACCAGGGAGGGACCCTGTTAGTTGCACCAGTTATCCTACGGATCCTTGTACTTATGACCTGGCTCACGTCCGCTGAAGCCAAGTGGTTACATACATCTGGTCTGCATTTTATTCACCCCATGTGGTTGGCATTCTCGGTCTTCCCATTTCACAAAAGCCTTGCGAGAGTCAGGATGCAGCCTCGCTAACCCAGCAGTCATGGGGATGATTTGCCATCTGTTTGCCCCTCTAGACCAGGAGGCCATGAACTCAGTACTATCCCTGGCACCTCTAGAACAGTCCTTGACTAGGTGTTCCATAGACAAGGTGTGGGGAGCTGCTGTCCCTTTCTCCTGCATTTTTGTATTTTTGAGGACTCAGCACTGACCTAGATCAACACAAGAAGAGAACGCTGAACAAATGCAAAACCTCAAAGCACCATCGGGCTTGTGGACAACCATCCTCCTGGTACTGAGTCCTACTGGGTTAAGTGTCGGGCTGCAGTGATGAAGAACGGCTGATCTCTGCGCTTTGCTGAGGGCCGAGGGACAAACATCAGCAACTCTTCTGCTCACAAGGCCACGGCACAGACAAGGCGCTCTACCTGCAGATCTCAGTTGGGGTGTGAGAGGCTTCAGGAGGGGAGGGGAGGAAAGGCTGCCTAGAGGAAGTGAAGGAGTAGAGGATGGTCAGTAAGTGGGACTGAGCGAGAGGAAGGAGTCAGGGCATCCCACACAGGGGGAAATCAAGCTGGGAGGACTCTTCGAAGGGGCAATCACGACATCTTGTAAGGGATGAAAGGAGGTTCGGGGCTGGGAGATGCGGCCAGTGGCAGGGTTGCAGGAAGGCTGAGGGAATTTGTGTTTATTCTAACAGCAATGGAATTGTTGTTGTTGTTGTTTGTCAGTCATGGGGCCTGAAATCTGGGCCTGGGTGCTGTCCCTCAGCTCTTCAGCTCAAGGCTGGCGCTCTACCACTTGAGCCATAGCTCCACTTCTGGCTTCTTTCTGCTTATGTGGTGCTGAGGAATCGAACCCAGGGCCTTATGCATGCAAGGCAAGCACTCTACCATGGAGCCACCTTCCCAGCCCCAGCAGTGGAGTGTTAAGTGGAGATGACATGCTTGGCTCTGCAGAGGCCGCTCTGGTATCAACGTGTGGATTGCACAGATGGGACGATTGCCTTTCCATTTTGTCTCTTACATCACCTGTATGTATATATATATACATACATACATACAGAGAGAGTAAAGATACTGTACAGAGGGGTTACAGTTACATGAGTAGGGTAATAAGTACATTTCCTATCCAGCATTGTTACTCCTCTTTGGTTTTCCCCCACCATCACTTCCCTCCCCCCCCAACTCCTCCTTCCCCCCTCCCCTCCCCACCCTGGACATTGTAGAGTTGGATTTCAACAGTGTAGTGTACATCTCATCGTTACAATGGGTCAACCTGCATCCCCATTTAAGCATTCTGCTATACCCCTTCCCCTCCCCAAATTAGAAAAATGTATATACAAGATGCAGAACACCGGAATCAAATACAGTGAAAACAGGGGTTATAGTGTGGGGGAAGAACTTCCAAAAGAAACAAAAGAATCACATAGTGCATTATAAGAACATTAAAAACAATAGCAAGCAAGAAAAAAACCCTTGTGTCCTGTTTTGGGGTACATTTCGCTTAATCATCTCATGTGGTCATATGAACAGAGCTTTGGACCTTCTCTGCTTGTCCTAGACATACACTACTTATTGCAGATAAAGGAAACCATGGCACCTATGTTTCTTTGGGCCTGGATTACTTCACTCAATATAATTTTTTTCCAAGTCTTTCCATTTCCTAACAAATGGGGCAATGTCATTCTTTCTGAGGGAGACATAGAATTCCATTGTGTATATATACCACATTTTCTTGATCTATTCATCTACTGAGGGGCATCTGGGTTGGTTCCATATCTTAGCTATGGTAAATAATGCTGTGATAAACATGACCTGACTGTTTTCTTAGGCCAATCCTATTTCCTTCCAAATGTTGCTTTCTAACCTGGCGGTGACCTAAATGTTAAACATTGTTTCCTGTCACCTACACTTACAGGTACAAAGGATTTAAGGGCAACTGTTCCATGACATTCATTGATCAGTTTAAGGCGCTACACCAGTGTAACAAGTATTGTCGCATGCTGGGGCTGAAATCCCTTCAAAACAGTAGCCAGAAGCCAAAGAAGCCGAGCATCGGGAAAAGCAGAGTTCAGACAAACTCCACAACCACGAAGAAGCCAGGACCTGGAAGCCCAGCGGAGAAGAAAGCCTAGTGCACGCCACCCTGAGGCCCGCGGCCACCAGCGAGCAGCACGAGAGCTGTGAGCAGACATTTATGGCCACGCGGGAGATAATGGTGCACAGCCTGCAGAGCGCGTGTGGCATGCTTTCTGCCCAGCCAACTTTGCCCCACGAGGCATTCACAGCGTCACCTGCCATCTGCTGCCGTGACCTTAGGACGGGGACTCGTGACCAGACTTGTACAGGGACTCAGCCATTCTCTTCTTTGTCAGCCAGCTAGCATTTCTAGCAATTTCACATTGTGCGTCGTTGGTGTATTTGCACGTGGTTTGTTGTCAAGGACTTGGTGCTGTGCTTATCTCTCTACGTCCCTAATCCTCCCCTCTCTACATCCTAATCCCACCTCTCACTATGTCCAGCATGGCCAGCCGTGATGTGAACAGACCTCATGGATGGCAAGCTGTTGCACGAGTGTTGAGTGTCTAGCGTTGCTGGAGCCGGCTTCTGAAATGGCAGGCCACTTCCCTCCCTGACTCACATAGCCAGGGAAAATGTTCCATTCATTAAATTCATGAACAAGAAGCGTAAAATGCGCATATCATCTGAGACACTTATTCTTTCGGATCTTGTGCCATATTTCACATTCCCCCTGGATGTGGCAATTGAGCAATTTCTTAATAGGTTTACTGAAGCGCAAAATCTTTGCATGAGTGTTTTGTCTCATTCTTACATTGCTAGTAAGGTTGGGTTACTTTCTATTTTGCTCCCTATATGTGGTCTCCCTGAACCCAGGGCTGGCCCATAGAAGATGGGTGCTAATTGTGGCACGGGTACCCCAGCTCACAAGGACTCTGCCCTTCCCTGCCCCACATGGCTCTCCTTACATATTCCTCCTTCTCTGTGCCCCCTGATATGCCACTCCTGAACAAAACAAAAACTGTGGAGGAATGTATGGCAAAAGTTGGCCTCTATGAGCAGAAGTTGGCCTAGGAGATTCTTGGCTTTTTTAGCTTTTTTTTTTTGCAGTTGTAGGACTTGAACTCAGGGCCTAGGTGCTGTCCCTAAGCTCTTTTGCTCAAGGCTACCACTCTACTACTTGACCCACAGCGCCACTTCTGGTTTTTGAGTGGCTAATTGAAGGTAAGAGTCTCATGGGGATTTTTCTGCCCAGACTGGCTTCGAACCACAATCCTCAGATCTCAGTCTCCTGAGTAGCTAGGATTACAGGTGTGAGCCATCAACACCCAGCTTCTTTAGCTTTAATAATGCTATTTTTCCTCTATATAGAGTTTTGATGAACATCTATTATCTACCTATCTATCATCTATCATCTATAGGTCAGTGTAACCAGAACTTTCTTGGCAGAGTAGTGCTACTTGGCAGTAATAATCATAACAATGATATCAGTGTAAGTGTTTAATGAAGTATAAACAAGTAGAAAATGAAAAGTCAAAGTCAACCTAGAGCCCCTTCTCTAGCTGGCTTTTCTTTTTGTTTTTTTAATTAGATCCGAGTCTGGGACTTGAACTCAGTACCTGCCACTCTTGCTCAGTGGCTAGTGCTCTATCTACTGAGTCATGCCCCAACCCTGTTAGCTGGGGTTGACTCCTCACTCTGCAGGACAGTGTAATGACTTTGGGTTCGCGGATTGTGCTTTGCCATCAGCCTGTGATGCTAAGCACACGTGCTTAGGCCTCTGTTTTTCAAAGTGCCTATCGTGTTTATTGTAATCTGGTTTCACCTGTTTATAAACACAGCCCGAGATCCTGTTTACAAACACTTACAGCCCGAGATGAGGAGTGTAGCCACAGCTGTGTGTCTTCTTGTGGCTGTGCTGGGGGTTGAGCTCAAGGCTTTTCAGTCTGAGCTGTGACTTGGCCAGGGCCTGTGAGAATGGCTTTGATGTGCCTTTTGTAGCCAACTATGCAGCCATCAAAGCCCTCTCTTCGAAAGTGCTATTTCTTGCACCATCAAGCAATAGGTAAGACATGGAGTGGACTTCCTTTTTTGGGGGGTCCGGTCGTAGGGTCTAAACTCTGGTCCTGGCCGCTGTCCCTCAGCTCTTCAGTTCAAGGCTAGCGCTCTACTACTTGAGCCACAGCGCCACTTCCAGCTTTTTTCTTTTTGCTTATGTGGTGCTGAGGAATCGAACCCAGGGCCTCAGGGAGGCAAGGCAAGCGCTCTACCACTGAGCCACCTTCCCAGCCCTGGAGTGGACTTTCTTACCCTCTGGCTGAGGTTCTGGGGGGTCTCAGAAATGCCCAGCTTCATTATTGTGGTTGCGTAGTTTGTAATTATCCTGCTTTTGTGGATTGTCCCCTTGGGCTCCGTAAGTGTGCTGTATTAAGACAGCACCTAACAATGGACGCTTAATTAGGACTATAAATACACAGAGCTAGGGTGGCCTTGTGGGTCCAGCTGAGGCTGTTTTTCCTTCGTAATGCCTGCAGGGTGGTCACATACAGAACTGCCTCAGTTCCCTAGGGAACTTGACAATGGAGCTCTGTGATTGGAGGAGCACAAAATGGATGAAAGCTTCGTGAAAACAGCTTTGGTTCATCACTAAGACGCGCGGCGGGGCACTGAGGGCTTCTTGCCAGCGGGCGATCTGTTCTGGAGAGGACCCATACTGGCTGGGTGGATGGCCAGCTCATATTAATGTTTCACGTCAGCTTTTGTACCAATGCTTCGTGACCATGCTTCTGCAGCCTCATAATAGCAAAAGGTTTCAAGAGAATATAAAGAGCACCTAAACAAGTAACAATTATTTTCTAATTATAAACTGCTCTATTATTATTTTATTATACCAGTAGTTTATTATTACCAGTATTCTTCTTTACGTAGTTTTACAAAGGAGTTTCCATTTAACAAAGCAGGTTATGAATACAATATATACAATATATCTTGATCAATGTCACCCTTTTCAATCTTCTCACCCATTCCTTCCCTACCCACCATAAAGTGCTCTTTAAAAATAAACTGTATTACATTCTATTTGTGTGTGTGTGTGTGTGTGTGTGTGTGTGTGTGTGTGTGTGGTGGGCATATGTTCAACTGGATGCATCTTGGAAGAGCTTGTCAGCAACCTGGTTTGTTCTGGCTTGTTTTCTCTGTGTCTGTTTTGCATTCCTGGACCACATGTGCCAATGAGAACAGAGCAGTCTTTCTCCCCCACTGAGGTCTGCAGATGCCACACAGGCTTCACTAGTCCAAAAAAAAAATCAGAGGCACAGAAACCTCCTCTGTCTCCAGTACAAGAGTTTCCGCCTCCTTGCTCTAGTGCTATGAAATCTATAGCACCTGCTTGTTCTAATCTAAGACCATGTTGTAAAAGCTGGCAAGCAAGTTGGTGGCTAGGTCTTCTGTATGATGCTACAAACCAGCCTTCAGTTGATGATTTTACATGCAAATATATGCAAGCCCTAATTGTGTCAGTGGATGAAGGTTTTTAAAAATTCTCTTCTTCATGAGAAGCCCAAGGGGTACCCAAAAAAAGCATCTTAGTTGTTTTTTTTTTTAAATTTTCCTAGGCACACCTTTGATCTCATATCATCAAGAAAAGCCAGGCTGTTGGCTTCCATTTTAGGGGGTGGAAGTATTGCATGCAATTCTATTGGGCTAGCCCATTTCCATCTCCCTTCCTCTCGCTCTATACCTATACAGAATGAGAAGGTAATGGCTTGCTGCTCTCCAGCTGTAAATTGGTCAGTTTCCTTTGGCATCTGTATTATTTCATAAGCACGGACATAATGGTGTATAACAAATGTTAAGGATGTAATCAACAGGAAGTCATTATTTCTCAGTTCTGAAGACTGGAAGTCCTGGACCATGTTGTGGTAGTTACCTCCCGCTAAAGAGTCCCTGCGGACCTGGTTCAGGCCCCTCTCCTGTCTGTCAGGAGTGTCTTCTCTCATGATGGCATGTCTCCAGTTGTCACAGGGAGTTCTTCCTGTGTGTGCCTCTTTGTGTAAACTCCTCTTTTATGTATGGACACCACTCATATTGGATTAGGATGCACCCCAACGGCCTAAAATTTAACTTGATAAGACTGTCTCCCCAATTCATATATTCCAAGGTACTGCCGATTTGGGACGTGATCCTAGATGTTGTGAGAGGGATCACTGGATCCACAACAATGTCATCTTCCACGTCTATGTGGTTTGATCAGGCCAGACGAAATAAAGATGGTGCCTCCAGCCCCTCCTCCAGTCCTCCATCACGTGAGAACCTGGCCCGTAGGAATTTTCTCTGGTTATCTTGGAGTCCGCCCAACCCTCCAGCTCTCCCTCATCATTCTTGAAGGGAGATCATCATTTGCATGCCCCGTTCCAGTTCTCTCCTTCTCAAAAGCTAGAAAGGTATAGTTGGTCACTGGTAGCACAGCTGACCCAATTGCCAGGGCCTAGAGCGATGGTCACTGTCTTCTCCCTGTCCCCTTCCTCCCACAGTGTGACTCCAACAGCCCAGCTGGAAATCTGTCTTCAGAGCTCTCTGACTGATCGTTAAGAAAACTGGCATTGGTATCTTTCAGTTGAAATCAAAGTTAAAAGATATTGTCTTCTTAGAACCCTCCAGTAGCATGACATCTCAGAGTACGGGAGAGCTCATCTGAAAGGCCAGCAAGACCCTCTGTGATAGCCCAAACCCCTCCTCCAACTCCCCTCCCATGCCCCATCTGCTGGCTTCTCTCAGCCCCCATGAAGGTTTCCGTCTAGAGCCTTTATCTTCATGCCACATACTTATGTTTTATTTTACCTTATATTTTATTTCTGTGCCAGGGCTTTCTTTTCCTTTTTTCCTCAAGGGAGTGCTCTATTGCTTGAGCCACACTTCCACTTCTGGCTTTTTTTTTTTTTTTTTTGCCAGTCGTGGAGCTTGAACTCTGGGCCTCGGTGCTGTCCCTCAGCTCTTCAGCTCAAGGCTAGCGCTCTACCACTTGAGCCACAGCGCCACTTCCAGCTTTTTCTTTTTGCTTATGTGGTGCTGAGGAATCGAACCCAGGGCCTCATGTATGCAAGGCAAGCACTCTACCACTGAGCCACCTTCTACCTTCCCTTTGGTAGTTCATTAGAGACAGGAGTCTCAGACTTTTCTGCCTCAGCTGCCTTCATCATCCTAACTGAACCTTGATCCTCAGATCTCAGCCTCCCTAGTAGCTAGGATTATAGGCATGAGCCACTGGCACCTGCCTGTATGTTTTATTTTTGTTAATTGTCTATCTCCTCTACATCAGAATATCAATTCCCTGACGGCAGGAGTTTTTTTGTTTCTGGTTCATTTATACTGAGAGAATGCCTGGCACATAGAAGGCCCCTTGATGAGTATTAGCTGAGTATCTCTGACCATCCATATTGGTGTTCTTTTTTTTTTTTTTGGGTCCAGTCGTGGGGCCTGAACTTTGGGCCTGGGCACTGTCCCTCAGCTCTTCAGCTCAAGGCTAGCACTCTACCACTTGAGCCACAGCTCCACTTCCGGCTTTTTTCTTTTTGCTTATGTGGTGCTGAGGAATCGAACCCAGGGCCTCAGGCATGCAAGGCAAGCGCTCTACCACTGAGCCAACTTCCCAGCCCTGGTGTTCTTCAAAGAAGACCTCTCTTAGGTCAATTTGATGAGAAGAAAATCTTAGTTTCCTTTAT